AAAAAAAAAGACTTATTCCAAAAACGCAACCGATAAACTAGCGATATTTGATAACTTTACTTTTGTTTTCTCTCATACAAAGCGAATACTTCCCATCATCAAGCATTGAGCAATTCGAGCCCCCTGTACTGCCGTGAAGTACACTGACGTTCTCAAACGCATAAAAAAAAATTCTGAAATGAAAAAGCATTGATAATAACCGTCACAACATTGACTATCATTTATCTAAGCTAAATAATTAAGTTAAATATAAGCACTCAAACCATTACGCTGTCTTTCACTGACACAGCTCTCAGTAATGCGCGCACCACGTCATTCGTTTCAAGTTAATATATGTGAGTTGTTTGAAAATTGCAAAACGAGACGAAAGTACTGGCAAACATACCTGATGCGCATAACTAAGATGTGGTACTCTTTCCAGCTGCATACGGGTGGTCCCTGGCTTGGCCGAGAACTCGACGCTGGTTAGATAACATAGCCCCTAAACTGGTTAATTTGGTTAGTGCCGATTAGTTCGTTGTTTCCTGCTTCATTTTACTCTTCAAGTCAACAGCTAACTTTTTTTAACAAATTAATCTAGTGTTTGCTACAGCAGGTTAAGTTCCCAGTTTTATATTAAATAAATTATTATAAAAACAAATTATGAAGAGAAAATAAATAGGTTAAACAGTCCCTCATCCTTTGTTTACTAGCTTTTATTCAGAATTACAGCTTTGTAATGTTTAGCTAAAAACAACTTTAGCATTTATCATATTAGTAATTTCCTTCGATGAAGTATTAATGAGCAGACAGAAAACACGATAAAAGTCTGAAGTTATCCAGTGGAAGCTACCAAGTAAGAAGAGGAAGGAATTAATATATAGCAAGTTTAAATAAAAACCATTAAACAAGGGTCATTTCTGTCTAACCTTGTGATAAGTCTTATAAACCACCAATAACCAAATTTACACAATAAATCCGTTTAATGATGGCAGTAACATCATGTAAAAAGTTTGAACTTCGTTAGTTATGTAGAAATCCAACAACAGTTATTAAATACTAAGAAACAACAACTGACGAAACAGGTTATAGCGGTTCAACAATACCCCTTGAGGAACCAAACAGTTGACTCGTCGGCAAAGATTGAGAGAAGAGAAAAGAAGGAAATTTTTTGTTGTCAAGGCTAAACAAAAGATTCCGTAGACTACCCTTATCAAATCCTGTTTTAGGTAAGACTTACCAAAGAAGTCGACTCCTCTTTAGATATCACCTCTCAATGAAACTGGATAAGGAAATATTTGGCTAGCAGTAAAACTGAGAATTGAAGAACTCGGAATGACAAGAAAAGTTAAATTTTTTGAAAAAGTAGCAGTTGTGAAACACAAGTGAACGACATGTTAAAAATGTAAGGAGAGGAAAAACGGAAAAAATTTTAAGCTACTTATTTTAACAACTAAAAAATTAGCACTCTATGACCAGGCAGCGAAAATCAAGACATTTTCCAAAATAAATAAAAAGCTTTTTATTAACTTAATTTAAATGAGAAAAAAACAGCAAAGTGGTAAACACTATCTGTAAATGGTAATATTTACAAAAGAGTCAAGTTACACCGTATAAAGCTTGAGATCACTTAATTCGTATGCACAATGCAAATAACTGAGAGTTCCCATCGTATTCAAAATGTGAATGAAACAGGAGCACTAACAAGTTAACGACGAAACTAATAAAACTGATGAAGCGGCTACAGTAAGGCTACAACAATACACTTCAAAGATCACTATGAAGACCATATTCTAAAGTGGGGTAATCCGAATCTCAAAAAGACGTAAAAGAATTAGGTTGTAATAACTAGTATAATTAAAAGAAACTAGAAGTCAAATGTAAAAAAATTTTAGCAAGAGAGCAGAATCCGATGTTTTCACTTCGA